ATCCTTTAGTATGCACTTAAAATACAATATGCAGTAAGAAGCTCCCCCTAAGATATGGAAAAAAAAGTAAACTCACCCAAGAATCCTCAAAGGAACTTTCTGAACATATACAGTTGTAGGTTTAGGACTTGGTGTACCCGGTGTCACGATAGCCCAAGTAGAGAATAAATGTATGTGTGTCCATGTATTAGGCTATTATCGGAATGATGATGTGGCAAGATGAGCCACATTGACCAGTAGACCACACCACAGGAAATGGTCTGTGGTTTACCTAATTGCCTATTCGTGAGGTTTACTTGGAAGAGTCTCCCCATCTGTTGCATTACTTAATAGAAAATATGGGGGACCATGCAGAGGAATTAAAGCTCACTAAAATGTAAGAAAAAAAATTATCCTGTCACACATAACCCTGTGTTCTGTCTAGTGAAGATGATGAGGGCTGGCATGTGCAGCTTGTATAGCTACATCTCTTGCCGTCAGCAACACTGTTCTTCCAGATTAGCCCTCAGATTGCCGACATCGCAATCCAATCTGCCAAGTACAAACATGCACACGCTACACGTAAACCCCAGAACAGCCAGGCCTTTGTTGACCGGAACAGTCATTTTCCTAGTTTCCCACAACAAAATGTATTCAATGACTGTAGCTCAAGTTAACTTCAAATTCCAGGGAAATGTGGTCAGAAGTTTACCTTGTATGTAGCAGGCATAACAAAACCATTTTTCAAGATAAAGCATTTTGTTAGGCCATACAGGATTGATGAAAGTGCCATGAAGGCAACACTTTTGGTTGATGCTACAAAAACATCTGAATCAGGCCCAGAAAATATTCGAGCGTGAACTCAAATTTTCAACTGAGACAACTATAACTCGCACTTTTTGTGACAAAGCATTTCCTAAAATAGAGAAATCATTTTGTAAGAAATCCACAAAAAATAAACGGGGTTTGACCTCATCACTGCGGCGATCCTAGCATACACAGATAGTTGTTGCTGTACTTGCACTCAGTGTGTTCAAAATCGTGTAAATATAGATTCAATGTGAGGTGGGGATTTTTCCCATCAATTTTCATCTCGGAGCTGGAAAATCTACCAAAAGAAATTGCTCTGATTGTGACAAAATTATGACCAAACTAAACGGCAAAGTTCACACCAAAATGAAAGGAAGTTGGGTCTGCACACTGGCTGCACACAATGGACAAAGTAGCACCGATGTGAACTTCATAAATATGCATGTCGTGTGACGTGAAAGGGCTGTACCTTGCATTTGTTGGCACTTTATCGAAATGAATATGCAATACAATGATTTCGATTTATGAGTAGTGGTTGGGATGAAAGTGCTTGGGTGGATTTTGTGATTGCTTGGTCGTGGCATAGTCGCAGCACAATGTCTGTTGGTGTGTGGCAGCAAATGAAAAATCAAGTAAAATTTATGCAAGTTCAGTAGGTATTTTTTTTATTTCCTGGAATTTTGATACATGAAGTAAATTTCCATAAATTAAGTAATACAACACTGTACTTCATTGTAAAATCAGTTTGTTATAATAGTTCTGGCTGAGGAATGGATTTCTTTTGTGGTTATAAAAAAGTTTCTCGCACAATCAAGAATTGCTTAAAACTGATCTAGCATTTACCAGCAAGAAAAGCGTCGGTATTATTCCAGTCAATCCTGTGAGTATTAAAATTCAAAGCTTACATTTGGGAAAAAGTTGTGTGGTATCTAAACACACACGGTGGACTACTAGCCAGTTTCACTGAAATTTGACATTTTCCAGATGTAATACGACTGAACAACTTTTGTGATCCAAAACTACAAGAAAACGGCTGTATCATACATATTTCAATACTTTAAGATGGTCATCTTGCCAGCCAGGCGCTACATGTACGTGATTTCACTTATTCTGTGCACTGCCAGACAGTGTTCATGTACATGTACACTGTACAATGTACATGTGCTGTACATGTACATTATTCCCAGACTCAGATAAAGGGACTTAGGAGACAGTTCATTGTGTTTTATGCCACAGCCACAGAGAAGTGTTTTATTCCGGATACCAGAGGTAGGGCATACCGGTTGAATTGTCAATTAATTGTTATAGTTTTAATAAAGGACAACACCGGGCCAAACCAGGAATGGGCAACACCAGCCCAAAGCCACAACGGCATACACGAACAACGAACAGACATTATGAAGATGATATACGCATACATGTAAGAACGGACACATATGAAACACACAACTGCAACACAGCCATATGCCCTCTGGGCAAGACCAGGCCTGACCAGTAGGCAACCATGTGTCTAAAGCCACAGCGGCATAGATGATGTAGTGGACAAAAACGATATACATGTATACATTAAATTAGTAAATATATGGCAATAATTGACAACCAATAACATTGAACTTGAATACCAAAATATTATCTTCCCACTGATGATACATTCAGTCGGGAAAACATAGCCTCTTATTACTTTAGAGTGCTATGGCAAGTTTTATAACATAACAAAATAGAAAAATAAGAGATTTAACTGGATTATGAGCCTCATAACACGTGCCCACCGGGCTAGGAGGCAGACAGCCAGGCGCAATCAAGAATGGGTCCTCTAGTCAGGGCACAATATGGGACAAAATAAACTGCATCAATGTGGAAGTGAAGATATGGTTACCCCTTAAAGGATAAATGCACTCCATCATGCCAAAACAACGCAAAATCTGTACACGTACCGTGCCCATCTATTAATTGTGTGGCACTTGCATTCTAGTGCAGGCTGTGAGAACACACCAAAATAGAAAACACGTGGCAGAATGTCTGACCACACAATCCTCATAGTGGGACACCAGGCGGCACCGTCGTGAAGCATGACTGAAACCCTTTGCCGCAAGGCATATTCATCTAGTCTCACTATGTCATTAGAACCCAAATGTATATGTAATGTATATGTAACGCTCCATATGAAAATGTGACAAAGCATCCACAATTGTATTAGACCATCCTGGCACATGTGCCGCTTTAACAGACACATTAAAATGTAAGCACTGTAGCACCAACAGCCTAAATAGTTGCATAATCCGGGCGCCGCCAGCCTGAAGATTTCTTATTGATGATCTCTATCACTGCCATGTTATCAGTATTGAAAATGACTTTGTGTCCCACTGGTAAAGGGCCCCAACACAGCAAAGCAACATACACTGGCACAAGGTCAAAAGTGCTATTGAAGGGCGTTTGCGCAACAAGCTGGTCGGCCAATGGCTTTGAACCCATTTCCCCTGGAAATATGCCCCGTACCCAATGCTGGCCGCTGCATCAGTGAACAGGGACAGGGTATCGTTAGATTCCCATTCACTAGCTGGAAAAACTGAAATGCCATTAAACTTGGACAGGAAGTCAAGCCATGTCAATAAATCCAGCGTAGCACCTGTGAAAATGCAAACCCTGTGGTACGGCTGATGAAGACCAAAACCCAACCCAATTAAGCGCCGTAAAAAGTCCCGCCGGGGCGGAATAGCTTTGCACAAAAAATTTAACGACCCGACTTGTGATTGAATGTTCTGCAAGGAAATTTTCTTCTCTGACAATGATTGTTCAGTGAGTGTAGAGGTGGCTACTACTTTGTCAGCTGGCACACACACGGTCTGTGTCAACGTGTTAATTTCTAGGCCCCAAAAAAGACAATTGTTGGGCCGAACCGAAAATCTTTTCATTCGCCAAAGGGACTCCCAATGTTGTACAAAGAGATTGAAAGCAAGACAACAACTGTTCACAGCCTGCAGCT